TGGCGGCGCCAGCGCTTCTGGTGAGCTTTTTCGGGTAGAAATGGCTTTCTACCCGGAAAAGCTCACCCGAAGCGCTGGCGCCGCCATCTTTTTTGACGAAAAATTGCTTTTTTTACCAAAAAAAGATGGCGGCGCCCAGCAACCAGCGGCCCGGTAAGGCTTGTTCCGCGGCCCGGTACCGGTCCGCGGACCGGCGGTTGGGGACCCCTGCATTACAGAGTTACCTTATGGTAAGATGGATGGACAATAAATTTTATAAATAGACAAAAAATTGGTGCAACTCGTGTAACAATTGCCCTGCTTAGCAAATGGAAATTCTGGTCCCAATTGTGGTCATAAGTCAAGGACTACATGAAGTGCATAGTTTGAAAATTGGAAGCTTTTCTACCCAGCTGACTGCAAGGTTCCCCTGATTTTTTTCTTGGAAAATTTGGGATGATTTAACAACATCACCAAGTTAACAGCAGTTGCATTGTTTGTAAATAAAAATGCTTCAACTTTGTTCTGAACATCAGTAAGTTTTTAAAATCCTTTAATTTTTACTTTCTGGACTGAATCAGCTATATTGCCATAAGCATAATAATACAGGTAGTTCTCGACTTACCACAATTCATTTAGTGACTGTTCAACAACACTGAAAAAAGTGACTTATAACTGTTTTTCACACTTATGACTGTTTGCAATACCTCCATGACCACATGATCCAAATTCAGATGCTTGGCAACTGACTCATATTTATGACAGTTGCAGTGTCCCAAATTCATGTGATAACTTTTGCAACTTTCTGACAAGCAAAGACAATGGCGAAGCCAGATTCACTTAACCATGTTGCTAAGTTAACAACTTAACAATTCACTTAACAATTGTGGCAAGAAAGATAGTAAAATGGGGCAAAACTCACTTAACAACATTTTGCCTAGCAATAGAAATTTTGGGCTCAATTGTGATCGTAAAATGAAGACTACCTTAGTATAAAATTTTAAGGGACACACTAGAAAGGAACATTTAAATATCTTGTGGAAACATATTCTGCTGCTTGGTGCCTGAGCTACTCCACAGAATCAATAGCTAGAATGGAATTCCTTTCTCATCATCCACTGCTCAAACTGAACTAGCTTCAAGCTGAGTTAATTGCTATTTCTCTTAATGTATAATTTGGCTCACTTGTTTGAAGAAGCAATTCTCTTGTAGATGTGCAGCGTACCTTAATTTTGCAGCGTACCTTAATTTACCAGGAATGGAGTAGTGTGGCTAAACTAGGGCTAAATATTTTATTATTTGGGTTAATAAAGCAAATTTGGTCTATGATTTCCTCACATAATACCTAATGAATTTTCAGGCTTCGCTTTTTAAAAGAACCATCTCCTGAAAGGTGCAGATTGGAATAATTCAGGAACTGTCAACCTCTGAATACATGTTGGAAGAAGAAATTATGGAGTGGATAAATAAATACTTACTTGTGATCCTATTTTATAGACTTTAAAAGAGCTCTTCTGTTCTGCTCTAGCTTCCTCTCTGTGAAACAGAGTAAAGGCCAGGCCAGCTTTCAAGTCTATTTTGAGGACAAGAGCAATAAATACAGCAAGTGTTTTAAAAGTGCCTTCTATGAAAGAATAATAACACACTTCGAGTTGTTGGTTTTTTTGTTCTGCAACCATGATGGAAACTAATAGAAATTCTCTCCCACCTGCCACTCTTAAAATCTCAGCTCGTCTGTCCTGTGCCTGGTTTACTACACTTTCTTCCCTTCTTTGGGAAGAGGCTATTCTAAAAATTAGTAATCTTTGGAAGGAATCCAGTGTTTCCTGGCTTGGACCATCTTTCCCTGATACTTGCAGCTGCATTTTTGTCTTTCCTTCCGGTGGAAAGCAATGTTGACTAGCTGCTTGACCTTTTCTTTTAAAAAAAATGACAACTAATCCAACCAGCTGCAAACAGCAGGGGTTGTGTACATGCATTTTATACATCATTAGATAAGATACATTAGGGGGAAATTGACCCGTCTTGGAAACTGAGGCAAAAGGGTGGTTGTAGGAAGGTTGCCGGGGTCTCGAGAAACCAGGGGGCGGCTCTTGGATTCTTCAGAAGCCTCCATGGAGTCAAACAAAGGAGGCTTTCAACGGGCCAGGGGGCTGTGGTAAATTGGGAATGTATTAAACTCACTCTGGGAGCCCTCAGACTCAAAAGCTGTTCAGAGCCCCCCCTCCCACTTCCTAGAGCGCTGTCTGCTGGTCAAAAAGAGTTGCAGGCCAAGAATTATCTCCAACTGCCAGCGAGTTGTCCTTTTTAAGGTGTATCTGGGATGATTACCTATAGCTAAAGCATTGTCCTAAAGCTGCTTTTTAATACTTATTATTATGGTTTGATGTAATATGCAAACCACTTTGAATGTAAGGGCTGATTGCACTTTTATTCTTTTTTCTACCCAGTCAAATCAGTTGAGGTTTACATCTGTTTGGTCACATGACAGTTTATGATGTTTTTGCTGGAAATCTGTCTTTACCCAGCATGCTGGGTAGGGAATCCTGGGAGTTGTAGTCCCAGGAATCTTAACGTTGCTGAGTTTGAGAAACTGCTGTCTTACAGAATGCTTATGGGAAGTTTACACATTCCTGCTTTCTGTTCCCTAATACTATAAAGAAGCTTTGGGGAACAGCTCGTTCTGGATCCTTCTGAAAGCTGAAGCATCAACAGAAGCCATCTTTGTCCCAAACCATTTTGGGGCTTCCCCTCCACGGTTCTGCATTCCAGTTCTCATTTCCTCGTAAAGAAGAAGGAACCATTGCTCTAATCTAGAAAAAATGGAACAAAAAGCAATAATGAATCCTCTCAAGGGACAGCCCTCTAGGCAACTGAGGAGAAAAATTGCTCTCCTGGCACCGCCTCAAAAGGAAAGCCCCAGGTTTCTGAACAGAAAGACGCAGCACAGACAAGAACAAGATATTCCTTTGGGGATTTTTTGGCTTGAATTCCCCTAGAGCAGCTTGTCTCAACTAAGCATGCTCCAGATAGGCTGGAACTGCAACTCCCAGAATGCATTGCTAGCATGTGAGCCAGGGAATCTGGGAAATGTAGATCCATGGCATTGGGAGCATCCTCAGTAGTCTGTTCTTTGTTAGCCAACCAAAGTAATAGAACTAGTAATTATTACTACTTGTGCTGTACTAAGGATACTAGTAACATTGTAGTAATAATCTAGTAACATGTGATATACATATATAAATTGTTTCTTGAAGGAGGACAATATAATTACCTATATCGGAATATCTGACATAGAAACTACAGCAACCATTCACAGTTATGATGGTGATGAAAAAAGTAACTTTATGGCCAATCCTCATATTTACAACTTTTGCAGATCTGTAAAGCAAAGGAAAACTGAAGGGAGATTGTAAATACAGTCATTTAGCGGCCACTTCACTTAACGACTGACTTGCCAGTTCCAAATTGGGTTGCTGGAGAATATAATATGCTCTAATTAGATCTTACAATTGACTGGATTCACACAACCTACTCACCCTAAGCAGTAGCAGGGTTCACACCCCATCTAAAGCCATATAAACAAAAGCAAACTGCATTATGGCTTGCAGTATTATATGAACCTAGCTAGTGTGATTTGTTTCATTTCCATTTAGTCTGTTGGTTGAACTCTGGATGAGGGTGTTTTAATCCACAACATACTAGTAAACAAATTATGGTGTACAGATAGTCCTTGACTTGCGATCTTACAATTGAGCGCAAAATTTCTGCTAAAAGTATCTAAAAGTGTAGATATTCTCAGTTATCCAGGTCATGGTGGTCCCACAGGTGATTTTCAGGAGGCAGCTGGACTTTCTTGGTTGTTGTTTTTTTGAAGACATTTTGCTTCTCATCCAAGAAGCTTCTTCAGCTCTGACAAGATCCTTCCATTCCCCACTATCCTGTCAGAGCTGAGGAAGCTTCTTTGATGAGAAGCGAAATGTCTTCAAAAGAAAAAACAAGAAAGTCCAGTTGCCTCAGGGATTCTACCAGTTCGCACCTATTCTCTAGAACCAGTTGTTAACATTCTAAGCAGTTCGGAGAACCGGTTGTTAGAAGAAATTACTGGCCTAATCCTGTAAGGAAGGCTGGAAGGAAACATTCTGGTGTTGCTTACAGAAACTGCTTGTCCGTTAACCCTTATTACATTCTTGGCAGGACTAGACTTCTTAACTCCGGAACTTCTCTGGAGTTTTTTCCCCCTCCTTTGCTGGTACTTTGCTTGTGTGGAGTGACCATTCAAAGTTACAATGGCACTGAAAAAAATGACTTATGACCGTTTTTCTCACTTACGACTGTTGCAGCATCCCCACAGTCATGAGAGGCCAGGCGAAGGGATGCATGCCTCGAAGTGAGTGATCTTGAGTTGGCTACGTGCAGCCAGTCACATGACCACCAAGCCATGCCCACCAACTAAGCCACACCCACAGAATCAGTTGTTAAAAAATTTGAATCCCACCCCTGAGTTGCCTCCTGAAAAAGCACTTGTGGGACAACATTTCTGCTGCTAAGCGAGGCAGTTAACTGAATTCTGCTCCATTTTACAGCGTTTCTTGCCACAGTTGTTTAGGGAATCACTGCAGTTCTTAAATTCAGTAACATGGTTGTTAAGTGAATCTGGCTTCCCCATTAATTTTGCTTTTCAGAAGGTCACAAAAGGTAATCCCTTGACCCTGGGGTGCTGCAACCGTCATGATTCTGAACCAGTTGCCAAGCATCCAAATGTTGAACATCCCCATGGGGATGCTGCAATGGTCATAAGTGTGAAAAACAATCATAAGTCACGTTTTTTGTAACTTTGAGCAGTCGTTAAACAAATGGTTGTAAGCCACAGGTGGTATTCAGCAGGTTCTGACCAGTTCTGGAGAACCGGTAGCAGAAATTTTGAATAATTCAGAAAACCGGTGGTAACCTTCCCCCCAGGAGTGGTGAGGGAACGGGGATTTTACAGTATCCTTCCCCTGCCATGCCCACCAAGCCATGCCACGCCCACAGAACCAGTAGTAAAAAAAAATTGAATCCTACCACTTTTGTAAGCCAAGGAATACCTGTAATTAATATGTCAACCCCTTCCATCCCCTTATTCTGCCCCACTGTGGGCTCAAGCAAGCAAACCTTCCCCATAGCTGGGTCTCTATGTCAAGGGAAGGAAAACTATTTCTGAATTCTTGCCCGTTATGCGGCTAACCAAGGCAGAGGGACTCTGCTCACAAAACGAAAGACACCTTCCTACCATTTCTGCCTGCCTGCTGACTGATACACCTTGTGAATTGTGTCCTCACAGGAATGGTTGATCCGCTATGGCTACCTTCCCCAACCCGATCCCAGAGCAGCAAGTCTTCAAAGCGAGGAGGAGTTATCCGTTGCTGTTAGAACAATGCAAAGGTTTGCAGGTGTGCCGGTAACCGGGAAACTGGGTAAGTATCTCTGTTCCACTTAAGGATGCTGGTGTGAATGTAGGGTTACTACGGCCATCAAAGGAGATCATGTCCTCTTTTTGTCCTCAAGTTATTTATTATTTATTTATTATTATCGTGCCTTTTTTGTTTTTACAAATAACTCAAGGTGGCAAACATATCCAACACATCTTCTTCCTCCTATTTTCCTCAAAACAACAACTGTGAGGTAGGTTGGGTTGAGAAAGAGTGAATGGCTCAAGATAATTCAGCTGGCTTTCATGCCTAAGGTGGGATTAGAACTCATGGGTCTCCCGCTTTCTAGCCCGGTTCCTTAACCAGGCTGGCTCCAGTTTTCCATTCAGCAGGCATTGTCCAGCTTTTTAAGTAACTTGTATTTGAGGGTGTGTGGTGGTTTTGGACTGTTTTGATAAAAGTAGACATTCAAATTTTCATATAAAGTAGTCCTCACTTAATGACCGGCCACTTAGCAACAATTCAAAGTTATAACAGATTCCTCTCCCCAAAAGGCACTTAGGACCAACATTCAAAGTTCTGATTGCCTGGGACTTCTGGTTTGAGCTTCTTCGGCAACAGACCGAAACTGCGTCTCTACGCGGTTTTGATCCGTGCTCGCCACTGGAGCGCCCCGAGCCAGCTAGTTTCAGGACTAAGCCACCCCGTAGAGGTGGTGAAGAAGGGGGAGACTGCCTGCAGGGTTGAGGAGAGCCACATCTCTCCTCCCCAGCTGGCCATTATTCCCTTTCCCGAAGGCGGTTATAGCGGTGGTCAGAAATGGCCATCACAAAGAAGAACTCGACTGGAAAAGAATGTGCAGGAGGAAGATAAGAAGAGAAAGTTTTGGTTGACCGGGTCAAACAGCAAAAGCAACAAATAAGGTACCCTGGAATTGAAACTATTAAAAAAAAAAATAACATTGTTCCCAAAGAAGATTTTGAAGCAGCAAAGGAGAGAGAAAAGGGAAAAGATTTGGGTTTTTTCTCTCCTTTTCCTATACTCACAGCTAAGAGACTTAAGCAAGAAATTGGAAAAAAATCCACTTTGACATTAATAGGCATTTAATGCTGAAAATAAAAAGTCAAAGGGATAATAAAGATTTCTGGATAATTAAAAGCTTTTGAAAACAGGAAAGGAGAGAAAAAGAATAAAAGGGCAGGATCTGGAAGGGAAGAGACTGCCTGGAATTAAAAATCATCTTAACTGAATTACATCTTAACTGAAACATCGCAACAAAATAGTAAAACCTCAGGAAGAGAAAGTGGAAAAAGAAATAAGAAGAAACAGCTTGGGACTATTTGGATTAGTTGGTGATCTCTGGATTCTTGGTTCTTGTAATTGAATGACTAAAATCAATCGGGTGGTTGTTTAAAACTGTTTAAAATGGCTCCACTTTTAGAAGAACTGAAAATGGAACTTAAAAAGTACAAAGATGTACAAGAAGGGAGAGGTTCTTTTGGCTTCGTATTTCAGTTCTTAGAAATGGAGATTTGGAATTATGAGAAACAACAAGAAATGCCTGCAGAACAAGAAGATTGTGACAAAGAAGAAGCCATCTTTAATGAACAAGTAATCTTAGGTGGGGGGGGGGGGGAAGGAAAGGGGGGAAAGAGAATGGAAAGTTTAAGACTGGGAAAAACAACCCCAAAAAAGAATAGAGTGAAAAATAAGTATAAAATCAGAAAGCAACAGAAGAGGGAAATGCAGAAGAGAGAATCAGAAGTAGAGAGACAAGGGGGTAAAAAGGGGAGGGAGAAGATGAGAGGGAAGAAAGAAAGGAAAATAAGTTATAAAGGACAGAAACAAAATATAGAGAAACAGGGCCTATTTAGAGATAACGGGTGACAATCTAATGGAAAAGGGGATTCTGCAAAGGTACATAAGATAGTATTGTTATATTAAAAATAGAAATAATTTCAGAAAATATGAAACAATGTATGATTAAAATGTTTGATAAAATAGCTATCATAACTCAGTGGGATGCTTGTCAATAAATAAATGTAACAAATGAATATTTAATGATTTACAAAACATATGTGAAGAGAAATAAGGGAAAAATTAATTATGGAGATTATATGTGTCTTTAAGGAAGTATGATATTTAATTGAAAAGAAATGTTAAAGATGTTAAGATTTTAATGATTATTAATGATAGAACTGAATTGGAATGGAATGAGGGTTTATAATTACATATATTTATAATCCTTTAAAAAAAAAGAATATAGTGTGTATTATAAGAATGTACCAAGCAGAATTCGATTGGAAGTTATGTATTATGTATTATATTGAAGGTCATAACCTTAAGGTATATATTGAAGTTTAAATAAGAGTTGAATGGATATAATTAAAAGATATAAAGGTGTCATACTCCAATTAGTATCTACAGGAGAAAATTTGTTTAATGAGAAAAGATAATATGAAATTGAAACAGAACAGACAAAAGTATAAATATAATGATTTGAATTGAGAAAATTAAAAGAGGGGAAAAACTATATAGAAAATGTAGAATAGTATAAGATATGGAATAGAACACAAAAATGAGCATGAAATTGAGTTTGTGTCTGTATAAAGAAGTTCAACCCGGGACCATGCTATTTTCAAAAAAGATGTTTTATTTGTATTTTGTATGTGTGAAAACCCAAATAAAACTTTAAATGGTAAAACCAGCGCTGCCATGTGATGACTGACTTAACGACTGGCATGACTTATGATTATAATTCATTGTTCAATTACAGTCATAAGTCAAGGACTATCTGTATTGTGACATAAATTGTTGCTCCCTTCTTTCCCAACAGACTCTACACCCTATATTTAAGTTATTTCATTTATTTCATGATTCCAGCAATTGGCTTCAAGCCAGCCATTCAAATCTATGATTGCTATAATCTGTAAATCATATGAGCCGTTAGTGGTGCAGTACTGCAGGCTACTTCTGCTAACTGCCGGCTGCCTGCAGTTTGAATCTCACTAGACTCAAAGTTGACTCAGCCTTCCATCCTTCCAAGGTTGGTAAAATGAGGACCCAAAATTATTAGGGGCAATATGCTGACTATGTAAACTGATTAGAGAGGGCTGTAGAGTGGTATATAACTTTAAATGCCATTACTATTGCTATATGACCTGCCATATTTTTCTAGGATGAAATTTGAAAAGTCATCAATTTGGTATTATTGTTAGCATATCTTTTTAACAGTAAAGATTTCTTGGAAAAATAATTGCAATTGAAAAATCAGTTTTTCTGAGGCTGGAAAAAGTAATTTCATATTGATATATGTATAGTTCTCAACTTACGATTGGTCCCTTAATTAACTAACTTAAAGTCGGAAAGTGGGTCAAAATTCACTCAGCAACTGTCTTGCTTAGCAACAAAAATTTGAGGTTCCATTCTGGTCATAAGTCAAGGACAGATTGCAAGTCCTATTTCCGGTCAGAGCAGAGAAAGAGACCTTGAATTAAAATCAAAACATGGAAAATACAGTTTTGGTCCCATTGTTCCTCTCTTTTGTAGATCGTGAGACTTTGAAAATGATGAACAGGCCTCGTTGCTCTCTCCCTGATTTCATTGGCACCTCGGAGTTGATGCGACGTCGACGTAGGAAGAAACGCTATGCTCTCAGTGAAAGTTCCTGGAAAAAGACTGACTTGACGTGGCAGTAAGTCTAATAATCCCATTTCTTTTGAAGGAGTAAGCCTGAGAATGCAAAGTTAAGCTAACCACATCTTCTCTGCTGTGGTTTTTGTCTTCCTGCTATTTGTGTTCCAAAATCTCTGACCTGCATTTGTCATAGGAATCATAATTCAACATCTCCTAAATTGATGAAGTATACTTTCAGTGTGCAAGTGGTCCTTGACTTAAGACCATAATGGCGCTTGCCCTAAATTATAGTCGTAAGTAGTTGACAGACATAAAACAGGTCAGTCATGTGACCAACCCAATTTTATGACCTATTTTTGTGGAGGTCATTAAGAGAATCCATGGTCATTAAGCAAACAATGTGTTTTTTAAGCAAACTCATTGTTTGCTATGGAGTGTTTTGGCTGGAAACCTGAAGTAAAAGCTATTTTTTTGGCAAAAATGTTGTAAATAGTGGTAAAGTGACTGCAGGATGCTGCAAATGGCTTCCAAGCACCGAAAATGCAGTCATGTGACCATTGGAAATGGCAGCCATTGGAACTCTGAAACAGTTGCAAGTACCTTTTGAGGAGCCACTATAACTGCGAACAGTCGCCTAGTGACTGAACATAAGTCAAAGACTTTCTATATGCTGTCTTGTTAATTTCTTCCCTGCTCTCTTATTGTATAACTTTGCTGACTGGGCAAATGATGCAGTGTCAGATAATCCTTGACTTACGACCACAATTGAGCCCAAAATTTCCATTGCTCAGCAAGACAAGTGAGTTTTGCTCCATTTTACAACCCTTCTTGCCACCGTAGTTAAGGGAATCACAGCTGTTATTAAGTTAGTAATGCAGTTGTTAAGTGAATCTGGCTTTCCCATTGACTTTGCTCATCAGAAGATTGCAAAAAAGTGACCACATGACACTGCAACCGTCATAAATATGAGCCAAATGCCAAGAATCTGAATTCTGATCACGTGACCATGGGAATGCTGCTTGGTCGTAAGTGTGAAACACATTTTTCCATGCCATTTTAATTTCAAGCAATCACTAAATTAATGATTATAGGTTGAGGACTACCTGTATGCTGTCACAGCTGTTGCACCCATTTGGAGAAGAGCTACTATAACTTACCGTTTCTGTTGCATCCATTTCTTATATCTTTTTTGGTTCAGAACTTTATTCACTTTGCCACAATCCCATCAGTAATTACTCCTCATTATTATTTCTTTATCGTGACACTGAATACCACAAGCTGGGTCACAAAAGTGTCCTGTAAGAGGATGTTGTCTACATATCCTGTTTGTGGGCTTCCAGTAAGTCTTTTGCGGACATCTTGCAAAACAAGATACTGAACCATACAGGACTTTTGTGTAATCTCATCTAGCAAAACTCATCTGATGTTACCTTATTCTTTCCCTCTCTTCTTTGTTTCCCATTTCAGCATCCGTTCCTTCCCTCGTTCCTCGCAAATGTCCCATGATCATGTCCGGAATCTCATTTTCTATGCTTTTCAAGCTTGGAGCAATTCTTCAGCCTTGACCTTCAAAGAAGTGTCTTCGCAGCAAGCAGACATTGTGGTGGATTTTGTGACCTCTTATCACGAGGACACATACCCCTTTGATGGGCCCGGAGGCACCCTGGCCCATGCCTTCTTCCCTGGAGAATATCCCATTTCGGGTGATACCCATTTTGATATGGAAGAGACCTGGATTTATGACCCACAGAATGAGTCACCAGGTATCTTCAGAATTTCAACATATCGCACTATAGGACTTTAGTATTTTCTAAAAATATTATCCAAAGAACCTCAAATCTTGACTAAACTGCTCTTTTTTCTCCTGATTTCAGGCCGTGGCACAGATCTGTTTGCTGTCGCAGTGCATGAGTTTGGCCATGCCTTGGGACTGGCTCACTCTTCTGTTAAGGAATCCATCATGATGCCATATTACCAAGGTCCTGTTGGTTTGCCTCACCGCTACCAACTTTCTATAGATGATGCCATGGGAATTCAACAAATCTATGGTGAGAGGTTTTAGTCTTATGAAAAACACAATTCTTCAACTTCAGAAAGAAATTCTTCTTTCTGTCTGCCTTGACTGATATTTCTCTTCCTTCTGGAGCATTTTACTTGTATCAATCACCATTTCTCTACTGCTTTCCTCTCATGCTCTGCAATGACTATGACGATTAGGGATCATGGACGTTATACACAACAAGCATAGAGAAACACAGTTCTTTAATGCCACCCTCCTTCTTTCCACCATGACTGATATTTCTTCTCCTTGCTGAGACATTTTACTTGTAACAACCACCGTTTCTCTATTGCTTTTCTTTCATGCTCTGCAATGACTATGGTGATTAGGGAGCATGGATGTTGTACTCAACAAGCTGCTAGGAGTAAGTTGGAGGAAGTTGTCCTTTTCTTTCATCTTTTGATGTACACATCCCTTCTCTTTTTCTCAGGTCAGGAAGTATCTCATACTGCCTATTTGTCCATTTGATCTGTGGCCACCTCATTATTTCTCTCCTGTTTGTAGGTAGGCGGCATCATAGTTCATATCCAGATCAAGATATTCCAGCACCCCCAGTTCCCACAGCACCCCCGATCCCAGACTTACCACCAGACAAGCCGAGAGAAAAGTGAGCCTCTTTTCTGATTGGTTGATCCTATTAATCCTCCCTTTCCTGATTGGCTCTTGTAAATGTGAGGCAAACAAGAATCCTTTCCATAGAATGACAGCCACTGAGCCAAACAGAGCACAATTAAATGCAGGTGCTCGACTTACAACCATTTAGCGACCGTTCAAAGTTGCAACAGCATTTTAAAAAGGGACTTACAATTGGCTCTTCTACTTATAACCATTGCAGCATCCTCACGGTCACATGATCAAAATTTGGGTGCTTGGCAACCAGTTCATATTTACAACAGTTGCAGTGTTTGGGGTCTTGTAATTACCTTTTGCAACCTTCCCAGCTGGCTTCTGATAAGCAGAATCAATGGGGAAAGACAGATTCGCTGAATGACTTCATGATTCACTAAACAACTGCAATGATTCTCTTAACAACCATGGCAAAAAGCTTGTAAAATCAGGGGCAACTCCGTTAAGAACTGCCTTCCTCAATAATGGAAATTCTGGTCCCAAATGTGGTTGTAAGTTGAGGATTATCCATATTGATCAAGGTTGCAGAAATACAGTAAGTTAGTGATGAGTTGGTTGCCACCTAGGTTTAGATTCAAAGGACCATGCTAATGCCAACTGAAATGGCAGCCTAGAAGAACCAACTGGGAATGGCCAGGTACCCAGGAAAAGAAGAAAAAACCCCTTAATGAACAGCAGTGCCTCCTTTTAACAGGTAGAAAATGAAAGATCTATCTTTGATATCTTGAACCCCAGCCAATAGGAGATGAGCAACCCATTAGACAACATGAGTAGTTAAGGCATTTGGTCTAGGACAACTCGCCATGCCAACTCAACATGGGTAACTCAACATGGCCAACTCGCCACAGAACAAAAGTTATTTAATATTGAAGAGATGGTGAAATGGAATTATTAAAGAAAGCAGGTACACAATGAAATGTGAATAAAAAAATAAAATAATTTAATAATCTTTAAAAATATTTTAAATAAAGAAATAAAATTGTTGCATTGGCCTGCAGCAAGTTTTCCCATGATGACTTGTCCTGTGGCAAGTTGGCTAAGGTGAGCTGGCCCTGGCGAATTGGCAGTGGTGAGCTGGCCATGGCAAATTTGTTATGTTGAGTTGTCCCATTCCAAAGACATTTATTTAGCAGCTCGTTATGTAGGAAACTTTAAGCAGCTGCCCCAAGATAAAACTCGTGTGCTGGTGTTTTTTTTTGTTTTTTTGTTTCATTTAATTTTTCATTCCTCTATCCTGGGAGGCTCTATTTGCTACTTTCACAAACTCTAAGAGTGACCTTCTATCTTGGGTCAGCAGTGCAAAGTCAAGAGTGCACTTTGGCTGCTTGTGGTTGTGTATGTGTTGGGGTGGGGTGGGGGGTGCAGCTGTGAAAAAAATGCTGATTTCTTCCTGCTGTTGCAGTTGGGATTTGTCTGGAGGTAGGGGCAAGACCAAAAAACTAAAACTAAAAATCAAGAACAGGAGGGGCAACTATAATGATCTCATGCAAAGTCCAGAGAGAGAAGGGTTGATATGCATATCTATTATGGGACACAGAGGAGGAGGAAGTGAGGCGCAGGGGAATTCTAGACAAGGCTTTTATTGTGCACCCCAGGCCTCATGCATGGAATTTAGCATGGAAGGCAGCATTGTTGATTTCCATCGGTAACTGCCCCACATCTTCCTCCTGTTTCCCCTATTTTTTTTCCTCCTACCATAAAGAAACCCATTAACAAGGGGAACAGAATAGCTTTGTCTTGTTTATTGGGATCGGTTTAGAAACATCCAGCGTTAATCAAGAAAGTTTGGTTTTCAAATCACCGGCCATATTTTGTCCTGCTGGTCTCAACCTAATCCCAGTGAATTAATGGGTCCTCTTGCTAATTCTCTCTCCTTTCCAGACCTTCCCTGCCAGCATTTGAACGTTGTAAAGCTGGGTTTGATGCTATTGCTAATATTCGTGGCGAAGTTTTCTTCTTTAAAGGTAAGTCAAGCACAGATACATATAAATAATCCTTGACTTACATCCAGACCAGAACTTTTGCTGGTAAGCAAGGCAGTTGTTAAGTGAATCCCGCTCAGTTTTATGACACTTTTTTTCCATGGTCGTTAAGTGAACCACATAGTCGTTAAGGGAATACAGGTTCTCCCATTGACTTTGCTTGTCAGGAGCCAGCTGGGAAGGTTGCAAATGGCAATCACGTGACCCTGGGATACTGCAACCATCACAAATACATTTAGCAATACCGTTGCTAAATTCTCAAATTTTGAAAACGTTAACTCAGGGATGCTGCAAGAGTCAAAAGTTCAAGGACCGTTTGCAAGTCACTTTTTTAAACAGTCACTGCATGAATTGTTGTAAGTTGAGAACTTAGCTCTGCCTCTGAAAAAAGAAAAGGCAGATTTAATCTCTTCCTGTGGCGGAGGCTTTGCTCTGGCTGATGCCTGCTGAGGTAGAATGTGTGAAAAAGCTGGTGCTTTTGTACGATGACCTGGGGAAGCAGGGAATGAATGAATAAAACTGTGATATGAAAATATGTATCTGGATCTCAGGATGCTTTTTTCTTCCTTTGGAATCACCATGCAAATGACCAGTGGGCCAACCAGATGTGCTTTTTCAGAGGCAACTGGACTTTCTATTTTTTTTTTCCCCTTTGGAGGCATTTTGCTTCTCATCCAAGAAGCTTCTTCAGCTCTGACTGAATGGTGGGGAA